CCCTAGTCTCCTCTCCCCGCCCCCCCCTATTCCTAGGGCTATTTTGAGGATTACACGAACTTGAAATCATCAGAACTGGACATCTATGTGCCAATCCTGCGTCAGATGTTTTATATATACTATTCAGATTTATGTTTTGAGCAAGCAGTCAGAACTGCCATCTGACGGGCCAAGAAACCTGGTTTGCCCACAGTCTAAGGTGTTAATAAATTTGCTCACAGTCAGTAAGAGTTAAGATTCTACCCCAGCCTTTCTAAATTCGAAAGCTCCCTTTTTTCTACCGTGTCACTATGTTATATAAAACATTGTACCACTCAGCACAAAATTAGTCTTGCTGTAGTTACAAGTGACCCCTAAATCTTAATGGCCATAGCCACCAAGTGTGACTTCATCTTCCAGGCACTATGTGATTGACACGCTGCCCAGCCAGACTTGGGGCTCTGCTCCACGTTACCCTAGAACTCAGGCTTATGACATGCCAGGCTGCCTCCAGTATAGCGGTCTCTGTGCCAGAGGGAGAGGATGGTCGGAGCAGTCTAAAGCTAGCAAGGCACTGCTCTGGCCTTGGATTGAAATAGATCACTTCTACGGTAACTCAGTGACCTGAACATTACAGCGCTTTTCTGCACCATAGGAGGAAGTACAGTCTCACAGACTGAGAACCCAACATTTCTGAGGAACAGTATTAAACTAGCCATGATTAGTTGATGCAAGGCTGGATACCCAGATACTCAATATATACTGTGTCACACCCCATTCCCTTCCTCATTAATGAACAGGTGATAAGACATAACGAACAGGCCCTTTTGTTCTGTGTTCTTCTGAACTGCCCAGTCTTCACCAGCTCCCTTGCTAAATCAGAGGCTGCTGGAAGCAGACTATTCTTAGACCGGGTTATTCTAGAGCCTAGATCTTCAATGGTTTAATGTCTCGCCGTATGGCGAGGACTTCTGATAGCCACCCTACCACTGTTGCAGGTGATGGAATGATGGAATATTCATGTGTATGGCTCATGACACCCTCCCCCATGGCATCCAGTGGGACTGGGGCTCCAAGCAGCCCTTGTCTGCTAGCTACAAAATTTCTTCCACACACAGAGGCATGCCAGATTGCAAGCAACTGGCCGGGGCATTATTATAGGATTACATAGAATCTGTTCTAACGGATTTAAACAAGAACGATCGTCAATCATTTGAAAGACTCGGCAGTTTGTTATTAGGTAGCCACTTGCCTATGACACACCTCAAAACCGCTCCAGGCACGCAGCGTGTCAGGACACCGCCGTGGGAGAACCGCTGGTCAAGATGATGCCAGGGCCGCCGGTTGTGAAATGAAAACCAATGCCAGTTAACTCATTGTTTAATCCATCTTGAGCCAAAGAATTGATTGGGGTTCTAGAACATTTTGTCCACAAATGAATTGTCCACAATTTACACAGCGGATCGGTTGGTGGTCTTGGCCCCTCGTAGAGACACACACAGCCCAAGTGTCAGGAATGTGAGCCTCGCATCAGGTCTCAGAATCTGAGGCTGGAAGGAACCTCCATAGTTTGCACACATTCCTTTCATGTCACCAGCAAGGACCCGAAGGAGCAGCCAGGTTGCAAGATTCGCTAAAGGACTCGCAACACAACTGTGGGCTATTGTTTTAGGAACGAGGTCACCGCGGGCACGTCTTCAGCCACAGCATTTTTAACATGTTCGTCGCTATTTCAGAATCAAGATGCCCACTGAATGGCATTGCGTACTTTCTAAAAGTAGACAAGAATTTGAGAAACACCCCGTGGTGCAATTGTTCATTGCTTAAACTCGCTGCTGACTCATTTGCCCTTCGCCACTTCACCAACCTTGGTGGTGGCTTTGGTATTCACTACCCCACCCCCTCGGTCCCATTCTCCCTTGTCAGGCTGGGAATGAGGATGTAGTGACCTCACCTCCGTGAGTCCTCATTGGCTGGTGGGCAGAACTCTGAGGTGAGGTCCTTGAAGTGATGCCCTGGGCACATGGGTAGGACTTCTGCCCTCCAGGCTGAAGTAAGTCACGTTACCCGGGCAGGAGACGGTTCAGGAACGAAAGGGGTCTGTGGTGACGTCACTTTTTTGATGAAGGTCAAACGAGCCCTCCAAACACAACTCTTCAGATGTTAGTGGGGGAAAGCTCATTCACAAGACCCTCTTGGATGAGGGTCTTCCATATTTCCCTTCTTCATTCGCTTGAACTCTCTGCCTCTTGAGCCATCTTCCGTCTGAGACAGGCAATTTGGCTGTGTTCTCTTTAACCACCCTCCCCCTTCTCAAGTCCTGTTAAGAAGCCCTGATAGTCAATGTTTCAAGGGACGTGGGGAAAAGGAGCTCCAGACTGGCTCTGTTTGCCCTGAGGTGGAGGCATTATCAGTAGCCAAGAGCTAGGCTGAACGCTGTCGGTGCCCTGTCCAAACCTTTGGCAGTTGTCCATCCTCACAGGCCCAGCGCAGGAGCAGTCTTTGGCATGGGCAGAGGACTCTTGGGCTTGGGGCCAAAAGCCAGCCCTTTACCCTAGATAAGCACATGGAGTGGCCCCACCCCCAGAGAGTGTACCCCTTTCCTTCTTGTCTGGGTTAATGTAGCTTAGAGAAACACTTGGGGCATTCGTGGGAATATGGATTACAGGGTGACATCTTAGGATCTCCTTCCTCCCACGCACAACAAATGGAAGGAAGGGAAGGACCTGCAGTGCCGTCCTGGAGAAGGCGATTGTTTAAAAGATATTGTGAGCAGGGCGGTGGTGGCACACGCCTTTAATCCCAGCACTTGGGAGGCAGAGGCAGGTGGATCTCTGTGAGTTTGAGGCCAACCTGGTCTACAATAGCTAGTTCCAGGACAGGAACCAAAAGCTACGGAGAAACCCTGTCTCGAAAAAAAAAAATATTGTGGAAGTCTGCCCCTTACTAGGCCTTTTCTCTACTGTCTTTACTACAAAGCCACACACACACACACACACACACACACACACGTGCATACACACATGCATATAAACACACATACACATACATGCACACACGCATACATACATAAATGTACATGCATGCATATACACACACATACACGCACATGCACACACATGCATATATACACACGTGCATACACACACATGCACACACACATACACATGCACATACACACAATCCGTTGTTCCTTTGAGGTCACTAAGCTCAGATTCTTCAGAAACTTTAAAAAAGGTCAAAGAATTTACAGCTGAAGAAGTTAAGACTTTAAGGGAAAGTAGAGTCAAGAACAAAAGTTAGGAATTCTATTATCCTTATAGTTTGTTTGGTTCAGGGAAGAACTCCCCAAATAAAGAATGTTTTAGGATGTGTCTGTATTTGTCACTTTTCTTGAACTGGGACCTGAGAGGAAGCAGCTTCGAGTACCATCATTCCAGTACAAAGTGAAAAGCCTCTTTTGAGTTGCATTAATTTCTTTGGTAATTGCATGTGCTTTCTCTGCGCCCTTAGCTGCAGCTTTAGCTGTCCTTCTCTTCCTCTCCAGCCTGTGCGCTTTCACATGTCTCTTAGCCATCTTTCTGCTCTCCTCCTATAAATCTGTGGAGGAGAAGTGGGCGGTCACCATGACACAGCCTGAATGCTATGTTGTCTCGACTTTTTCTCTGCCAAACACATTAGTCCATTGCCTTTGAATTCAGCCTTGCTCAAGTTCTCAGGGCAATAAGAATATAGCCTCATTATTTTGCCAGAATGTAACATCAAATGGCCTCTAGTTCCATTCCTGATAGTCCTTACCATCCTCTAAAACCTCATCGGTCAGAATTTTATTACCTATGTGTGCTGGCTAGTTTTATTTATGTCAACTTGACAGAAGCTGGAGTTATCTGAGAGGAGGGAACCCCAATTGAGAAAATGCCTGCCTAAAGACCAGGCTGTAGGCAAGCCTGTAAAGCATTTTCTTAATTAGTGATTGTGTGTGGTGTCATATCTGGGCTGGTGGTCCTGGGTTCTGCTAGAAAGCAGGTCTAGCAAACTCCGGGGATCAAGTCAGTAGGCAGCACCCCTCCATGGCCTCTGCTTCAGCTCCTGCCTCCAGGTTCCTGCCCCGTTTGAGTTCCTGTCCTGGCTTCCCTCAATGATGAACAGTGATGAGGAAGTGTAAGCCAAATGAACCGTTCCTCCCCAATTTCTTTGGTCATGGTGTTCCATCACAACAGTAGAGACCCCAACTAGGACACTACATTTCCAGCAATGTTCCTGGTCTTCCTCTCTCCCCCCAGAATGGCTCTTTAAGCTCTGCTGTGCATTCTAGAGCTTTTTCTAGCTTGTTGCTCAAAGCTCTTCCAATTCCTCCCACAAACCGATGCCTAAAAGTCACACTGTCAGTCAGTCACAGCAATATGAAAACATGGCAGCGGGTACAGATCATATTCTGTCCACAGCGAGAAAACAGCATTGAATTCTGGTGCTCATATGGTCTCCCCATTTCTGTACTCAGCCCAGGAACCACACCTAGGGGGTGGTATAACCCACATTCAGGATGGTTCTTCCCCACTCAGCCAGATTTCTTTGGTCGTTCGGGGTCTCCTTGCAGGGAATCCTGCTTAGACACACTTTGGCTGGTGTCAGCAACATTCAGGGGACCTTGTTAAAAAGTCTCAGTGACCCTGTGATTCTTGCACACACAGTCAGAGTTGTGTCTTCTTGATGATTCTAAATGCCAATCAAGCTGGTAATCGCACTTAGCCATCACAGTGTGACATTCTGTTAGTGGTGTGCACAGGCTACTGAGCAAATTAACCAGCATCTCTGTGATTGAGGCAGCCGCTTCCCTGCAACCCAGCAGCACCAGGGACGCATGGGTGAAGATGTTCCCCGAAGAATTTTTTGCGATAGTGACAAATTAGAAAAAAAAATGAGTTCATTTTCTGTTACTTAAAAGAACAACAACAACAACAAAAAAACCTAATTTATAAAAAATACAGCTTTATTTAGCTTACAATTCTGGGAGGCTGGGGTATATGCAAACATGCTTCTGACACCTGCTTGTCCCCTGGTAAGGGTCTGAAGTACACATGATATTGGTAAATTGTCACATTTTGTTGAGTTTCCTGAGAGTAGACTCTGGAGGCAAAGAGGCCTTCCCTGGTCTCCTCAAACTCCTTAATTGGAGCCAGCCTGGCCCCCTGGTCCTGTGACAAAGAGAGCCGGAAATAACCAGCAGCCAGGAACGTAGAAAGCACCATGTCCTTGGGAACAGCTGGGAGGTGAAGGGTTTGCAAGGGTCGAGAGACCCATCCATAGAAAGGAAGCTCAGTCAGGAGCTACAGCTGACGGCCTCAACTTCCCCAGTCAGTTTTTGCTGGATGTTGGAAGCCCCGAGCTGGTAATGCTGTCTTTGTCTGCTCATCAGCCAGGCTACTCCAGCCACATTCGCTAGATGATGAGAACAGCTGACGTGACGATGTTCAGCTGCCGTCTCCATCTCTATGGTACTTGCTATCTTTTTCTTCCTACCTTTCTTTTATTTTTTCCCCTGAGAAACAGCACGGTTTTTATTAGTTCCACAGCCTTTTGAGTGACGGTTGCATTTGAGGCAGTGAAAAGGAACAGGATGAGGCATCAACAGAGTCCAGGAGCCTGAGGTCCCACTGGGTGTGATGAGGGAAAAGGAAGGAGGCTGTCAGGCTAATACTAAGGACTGTGTTGCTTAGAAAACCGACAGAGTGATGACATGTGTTTACCTTTCTCTAGGAAGAACATAGTCATATGACCATGGATGAAGGATGGAGACAAAGAAAGGTCTTTGTGAAAGGCAGGAAAAGTAATGTTTATGCCCAGATTGCAACTAGCACCACTTCTGTGAGAATGGAAACTAGACAAACCCTTCCTAACTTTCTGTATATTTAAAACATGGCCCTTGTAGATTATCCTCTGGACGGTCCAGAGCAGGGGCTTCCTCCTGCATTAAAGCCTGACAGAGCACACCTCCGGGTAAGAAAGAGCAAGCTAAGGAGAGAGCTCACTGCCCTGCTTGTCTTGGTTTTGGTTTAGTGTTTATTTAACACGTCTGTGTGCGTGCACACATGGAGTGCAGCCATGCATGCCACTGCATGCATGTGATGGTCAGAGGACAACTGAGGAAACTGGTTCTCTTCCAAGATGTAAGGTCCAAGGACGCAATCAGGCTGCCAGGCTTGGCAACCAGCATTCTAACCTGCCAAGACATCTCACTACCTCTGGCCCCCCTTTCATTCTTACCTATATGTTTATTTTTGTTTCCGTCTTTGGTTTCGTGTTACTGGGGATTAAAGCCAGGATCATTGACCTACATCTCTAGCCCTTGATTTTGCTTATTTTGAGGTAGCTCATGTTAAATTGCTATGGCGGTTTGAATAAGAGTGGCCCCCCCTAGACTCATATATTTGAATCCTTAGTCACCAGGGACTGGAACTCTTTGATAGGATTAGAAGGATTAAGAGGTGTGACCTTGGAGGAAGGAGGAAGTGTATGGAGGAAGGGGTGGCAAAGTCTGGGGTTTTGAAGTCTATTCCAGGCTCATTCGCAATCTGTTTTTCTGCCTGTGGATCAGGACTTAGCCCTCCACTTCTCCAGCACCGTGCCTTCTTCGTGCGTGCTCCCAGCTATGATGATAGCGAACTAAACCTCCGAAACTGCAAGCAACCCTCAGTTAAATGTTTGCTCTTATAGGAGCTGCTTTGGCCATGGAGTCTCTTCACAGCAATAGAACAGTGACTAAGACAGTTGTTAAGCCTGGCTTCAAACTTAGGGTCCTCTTTCCTGCGCTGAGAGCTGGAATTACTCCTCCAAGTGAGAACTCACTTTTATAAGGAAGTCATTCTTGGACTAATGTATTAATCCATGAATGGATTAAGCCATTCACGAGCACGGTGGCCCCTGCCGAATGACCGGCACAATGGCAATCAAATTTCGACACGAGTTTCAGAAGGAACAAGCTGTGTCCAGACCGCGGCAAACGGAAATGTCATCGGGAGGTTAGGGCACGAACTGTGGTTTTCTTGTACTGTCCAGTTATTCAGAAGTTAAAATGAGTGTGCCTGGAAACACAATACTGGATTTAAAAAAAAAAACACATCAAGTTCTCAAGAGATAGGGTCACGGTGACATCACTCACGGGAAATAAAAAGCACTCAAAGTGTTGCTAGGTGTAATTTATGAGTAATAATGGGAGAGCGTGTGTGTCAGAAAAATACCCGCTGATTGCAGGACGGCGGCTGGATTTGGAGAGAGAAGGGGGCGCAAGGACTTCAGCGGTGCTTTTCTTTTTAGAATATGATTTAAATGCAGCAAAATGTAATAGCATCTGTCATTTCTTGGGGGTAGGTACAAAGCCATTGCTCTATTTCTCTTTGTATTTTGCCATAAGGTTGAAATATTTCAACAAGAGAGAACCTTCTTAGGGCTGCCTTCCTTGGGTTTCCAATGAGTGCTCATATGTGTTTTTCTCTGCTGTAGAAATGGATGCCCAAGGGGGTTTCCACCCACCCCAGCCAATTATCCTATATCCTTCTGATCTCATGACTCATAGAAATTGACCCCATTTCCTTCATTCAAATGCAGGGTAAACATGAGAATACATGAGAAACATGAGGAAGCTGGCTGCTCCAACCATGTCAACAGCTACAGGAGGCCCCAGTGCCTGAGTTCCAAGCCCCCCAGTTGCTCTTCTGCCCAGAGGGAAGTCCTACCTAGTTCTTTCTTTAGCTTTCTTCTTCCTCGTTCTCTCTCAGTGCTTTGCTATAATTGAGCTCCATAGGCATTCAACAGCTCCCGTTTCCATGGGCTCCTTTCTCACGATTCTGCGGAAGCTGAAGCCTGGACCGCGTGAGTGGAGGCTTCTTGTGATGTTTCTGGGTTCCACCTTCAGTTCTGAATGAAGGCACCAGGTGCTGGAAACTGTTGAAGAACACGCTCTCTGAAGAAATTACAAAACAAACAAACAAACAAACAAACAAGCAAGCAAAAAACTAGGCACCAGACTGAAGCACCTGCCAGTGTCCAGTATGATGCTGAGCTGAAGGTCCCTACTTTGAGAATCTCTGTTCCCAAAGACTGAGCCCTGGAGTCTGTCAATGATCCCACAGTGTTGACATAAAGGAGCTAAAAGAGGGACTTCTTGATCTTTCTGCAAGGGAGCCATGTCCTGGACCGCTAGCCTATCAGCTCTGTTGCCATCCTGAATGCCCCGACCACACCTCTAAAGAGCACACACAGTCTTCAAGATGGCTGTGCACCGACCCCAGGAACTCTTGGAATCAGGACAGAATCCGATCTGAGATGATTCCTAGCTGTCCAAGGCTTAGACTCTGGGAAGGAAAGAGGGAAGGAATGAGAAGAGAGGAGGAGGAGGGAGAAGGAAGAGAGAGGACAGGACAGGGAGGGAGGCAGGAGTCCAGAGCAGACGCTGTCCCATGGGTTTCCACTGTCTCTTCCCCAGGTCCTGCTGAGCTTTGCAGACGGAAGAGGGGAAGGGCAGGTTCACAGTGGGGCAGCTGAATGGAGCCGCGTTGGTGTGCAGGGTCACGTGTTGCTACCCTCGTGGGAAGTGATAACTCCAGCCACCTTTGATGTCTCTGCTCCAACTGCACTTCCAGGAGGCCCCCTTAGGTCTCTTCACTGCTACTAATTTCTCCAGCCTCTTTCTCCCGGATTCCAGATCTCAGGTGCCTTCGATACCCACAAGCCCATCGGTGCCTTAACAGCTCCAATTCGCGTGTTAGCATGGGGTCCCTAGTTCTGCTTGCCTGTTGTGTGTGTGTGGGGGGGGGGCGGTGATCTTGGGAGGGAGCAGGTGGTAGCTTAGATGCCCTACACACACCTCTGATTATCCAGACGGTGAGGTCTAGAGGAGGAAGGTGATTGGAGCAAGGCCTCTTTATCTGCATAGCCTGCAGGGCTCATATGCCCATAAGGATCAGACCCCAGCCTTCAGCTTCCTGGGAGAGGGGGCACCCTGCCCAGGTGCCCAAGGAGCACATTGAACCTCTCCATTTTCCCTTTCCTTCTTGATTTCGCTTGGCCCCTTCTGTGCGGCAGGCGTGCTGATCCACAGGTGGGGAGAGTCCCCCTCCCCTCCAGCTAGACAGCTGTCGCTCCCAGCTCCCTTTGACTCCAGAAGCTGCAGCGGAACAGCGCCCCCTGCCTTCTTCAGGTCTCTTCTACCCCTGCTCCCCAGAGGGTGGTCACGGTGTCCTGAGCTGCAAACCTCCACACACAGGTCGTCAAGCAGATCCCTCCCGTGCATTAGGCCCAGAGTCGGGACCCACGGCCCTATAGGGGAAATGTCGTTACCTTGTTTTGTGGATGAGGAAACTGAAGCGCCGAGAGGGTTAGCGGCTTTCCCAAGAAGCACACAGCTAGTCCTGGAAGACTGGGCTCTGACTCCGGATCTGAGGGACTCAGAAGGCCAGGTTCCTCTCGCGTACTGGAAGCTGAAATCTTTTCTGAAAGATGCCTTTTAATGGGAACAGCTCCCGGAAGGAGCAGAACTGTGACTTGAGATACTCAGTTGAAGAGCAAGTGGCAAATAGTTGTCGACTCAGAACCCATTTTGAGAGGTGATCTATCCCAGGTGAGAAGAAAGCTGTAAAGAACCTCACTGAAGGGCGCCTCACGCTCCCAACCCGTTCCAGATCCTGGGCCCCTTGGGATGGGACTTTTGCTTTGTTTTCCTAATCTCCCTGGGGAGGGGGGTTGCGTGGAGGGGGAGCACGAGAACACGGACTGCTGTCCTCTAGACTCATAATGGAGGCTGTAGAGTGAACTACCCCGCGATGACCGCACGATGCCGCCCTTGAGCCACGTACGTCGTTCCCACCCCCGCGCTGGGGCTGGTGGCCTAGCAAACCTGCTTTGTCTGGGGTCCGAATTGGGAAGTCAGGGAGCACCAGGGCCTGTGATCACAAAGCGAGTCAGTCCTGAAAGGTGGCCCGTCGATGTCGTGTCTTCTTCGCTGATGTCTGTCTCCGCACTGTCTCCCAGTGTCAACTCAGCTCTCTTTCCTGAAGTGCCACAGCGCACTCCCAGCCCCTCTCAGGATCCCTTGGCACCCTTGAACTCAGCGAGGTCCACGCTTCAGCTCACACGTCGCCTTAGTCTTGCCTCCTGTGACTTCTGCACAGGAACAGAACCTTCTGGGACCTTTCTCAAGATCTGTGGCTTTGTTGTATACAAGATGAACCTCTACCCCGCGCCTAGGCATAGAGAGTAGAAAGATCCAGATAAGGAAAGGCAGGGAGCCTAGCCTCCTCCAGGCCAGGAAGCACAGAAATACTTGGGGGTCTCTCAACCTCGGTGGGATGGGGAGGATGGGGATACCCGGGTGGTCACCGTTGACCTCCTGTGTCCTCACCACAGACGCAGCGGCATCCCCAACTCCATCGAACTGGCCGGAGCCACCTGCAATTGTCATCCCCTCTTCTTACCCCTCTGGAGACTGAGGACCGGTGATTTTAAATCTTTCTATGTTACGATGGTCCTCTGCTCTTTATCCCAACACGGCACTCACCTTTAGACAGTCCCGCTGGATCTGAACTCAGCCCTTGCCTATGGACCCCCCTCAATACACCCAAGAGTCCTCCTCTAAGAATGATAGATTTCCCTCAAGTCAGCCCCTTTTCTCCAGCGTATGCAAACCCCCTCCTCCCTCTAGAGGGCTCTGAATCAGTGGTAAGTAATGGTATCCTCTGTTACCTTGGGCAGTCAAGGATTTTATCTGAAGGATTTTGTAGTGACTTACAGGAGGAAGGAGGTTGCAGCTACTCGGGCTAAGGACAGACGGACAGACAGACGCCAGGCACCTCATCCTGGGCTTCTGCTCATCATCTCGTCACACAGCTGATCAACTGTGGCGTTCGTTCCCAGTGACAGGTCTCTCTGCCCAGAAGTCCAACAGCCAGGCCTGTCTTGAATGTCTACTTAATGTTCGGGGAGGGGGTGGGGAGTGGCGAGGTAGGGGTGAGGGAAAGACGAGGCTGACATATTGAGTGACAGTTCTGCCAGGAGTGCCCATGGTGGCCAGCAACATCCACCCAAGCAGCCTTCTCTAGCCTAGACTGAAGTTGCTCCCACTAAACGGTGTCTACCTGGCAACAATTAAAGGTACGAGGTGACTAGGGTACAGGAAGCAGTGTTTCTCAGCCTGTGGGTCACAGCCCCTTAGGGGTTGCATATCAGATATCTTACATCTCAGATACTTACACTATAATTCATAATAGTAGCAGAATTACAGTTATGAAGCAGTAATGAAAATAATTTTATGGTTGGGGGTCACCACAACACAAGGAACTAAATTAAAAGGTCACAGCATTAGGAAGACTGAGAAGCACTGCCTTGGGACTAGACCTGTGGTCACCCAGGGACACAAAGGTATGACAAGGAGGCTGTGAATTCACCTGGTGTCCTTGGGTTTGGTGTGACTCTCCTGGAGACATTGGGGGTCCCCCAGTAGACCATGCCGCCCGTAGATACTTTTTGGGGTAAGGGCTTCCTGACTACTGTTGAGAGAACAGCAAGCCCAGACCGCAAAAAGATCCAAAGGAGACAGCTTTAGAAGGTAGGGTTGCAGGGAGGTGCAGCCCCTCCCAAACAGGGCTTGCATCTGCAGATGGGTTCAAGGAAGCAGAGTCAGGACCTGGAGAGGAGAGCGGAGGAGGGAGGGGAAAGAGCAGGTGACAGAAATCCCAGCGGCATCCACTTCTACCCACTCTGTGTCAATCTCCTTCTTACTTGGTAGGCTGGGAGAGAGCGGAGTGGTCACGTGTCCTGGTGTACAGGGCACCTGGAATCTGTCTCCTCTTCTCTCTGTGAGGATTTTATGGTCCCCTGTTGTGACTGTGATTCAGTCATCCCAGGGATCATTTATGTCCTGGATTACACAGCATCAGCCCGCCCAGTTCCCCCTGTCGACTTACCAAGAGCCCTCGGAAGATGCTGTCGCTGGACGCCTCTGGGCTTAAGGCCTGGATCCTGGTCAGCTTCAGTGAATGTCACAGTATGGTGAAGAAAGGTAGATGATCCAGGCCAGGCCCCATTCGGGCCTCCCCCCAACATTCGTGGTCTTAAACAATTATAGTGACCCCCTATATAGTGACCCCCTAAATTCTCCCTTGCTCCACAGACGAAGGGAGGAAGGTTTCCTAGGAGCCCCAATCCCCAATAGCCTGGGTGTCCACTCTACCTGGGGGCCCCTGAGGTCCCAGTCACAGACAGCAGAGAGATTCCAGCTCTTGATTGAGGGGTTGTCGACTGGATGTTTCTGCATCTCAGCCACCTCAGCTCCAGTTGGCCCTTATCTTGCATTTTCTGAAGGCGGTTAAGGAAGAGCCGTCTACCTGCCAACGCCAACACAGCCCATTAGCAGAGGCCGCTGAAGATACTGGCTGGTCCTGCTCAGTCCCTATCCGGTGTAGGGAACAGAATGCAGGATGAGACAACCTGGCTCCAGGGCAAACTGCATAGAAGGGCCTGGGGCACATAAGGCTGGAGGGGGGGGCTCTGAGGGTACCTTTCTAAGAGAGATACCTGTGCTGCCTTCCTGTTGGGAGTCAGGTGGGGCTATGATCACTCTCAGGAAGAGGAGGAGGGGAGTCCTCTCCTACCTGCTCAGCAGGTAGGCCTCCTCTTCGGGAAGCTGGAGGGGGCTCCAGGACAACAGGCATCTCACTGTGGGCTTGCTATCTTGCATAGGTTGAGGAAGACCCCTGGTTTCAGCTGCTCCTGACTTCACCTGGTCTACCCCCTCTGCGTGCCCTCCCTCACCCCCATAGCATGGTCCCTGGGAAATCCCTGGATCCTCTTTCCCAGCTCCCTCCTGCCTTCGTGGCTGCAGCTTGTGCCAGAATACACAGGAGGGAGGCAGCAAGGAAGGGAATGGGAGGCTCATGCCTCTGGTGGCTTTCCGCTGAGTCACGCGGGCATGGAATTCAAGTCACCAGGCAGGCTGTTAAGGGCTGTCATGGGAAAAAAGTGTGGTACCCCCTGCCTTCCTCGCACTGACCTAGGCCCTGAGGACACTCTCTTTGGCATTGACTGTGTCTTCCCCGTCCCTTTCCAAGGCTTCTCTAGGTTCTTATCACACACGGTCATTCAGCCAGGGCTCGCTACAAGCCTGTACAGAGCTGCAGGCTCTCCCTGTGGGGATGCCCTTGTTCCTACTTGAGGAGATGGAAATCCAGCCCAAGGGAAAAACCCCTCTGGGTCCTCCAGATTGCCTAACTCATTGTCAGCACACCGCTGGGTCTTCAGGAGTCTCTAGCCCAGCAGTTCTCAATCTGTGGGCCATAACCCCTCTTTGGAGGGTTTCATATCATTGCACATCAGATATCCTGCATATCGGATATTCACAGTTTGATTCATAATGGTAGCAACATTACATTTATGAAGTAGCAGTAAAATAATTGTATGGGTGGGGTCAGCACAACAGGAGGAACTGTATTAAAGGACCACAGTGTTAGGAAAGTTTAAGAACCCCTGGGCTAGCTGCTTCTCAAGAAGGTCTTGTCAAGACATGACCTGTCACTGCCTCACAGGATCCGTTTCCACACTTGCTGTCCACAGTCCGTCTGCACAGAGTGGCCACAGCGTCCCTTTTAGAGAGGTAGGTCAGTTGGTAGAGGACTTGCTTAGCATGCATAAGGCCCTGGGGTTTGGTCCTCTGCACCACCAAAACTGAGCGTGATGGGGTACCCCTATGATCCTAGCATAGAAGATCAAACCTCTGGGTGATCTTCAACTACACAGCAAGTTCAAGGTTGGTTTGGGATATATAAGACCCTTCGTAAAAAAAAGCCGAACAAAACAACAGGAAACCTAGCCAACCAAAGAGCCATGGAATCTCTGTGTAAATCCTCCTCAGTGTCTTCCTATCTCAGAAACAACCCATGAGCCCGATCCCATCCACACACACACACACACACACACCCCAGCCTCTCTCACCTCACCCCATCCCCTGGTCCACTTTTCTCCAGACACACTGGTTTCCTTGCTTTCTGTGACGGTGTCAACTGCGTCCCGGCCTCGGGTCCTTGGGTATGAGCCCATTTACCGGATGATCTATCTTATCCTGCATAGTTCAGGTCTAGCCCCCGCCCCTCCCTAGGTCTATTCGCTCTTTCCTGAAGGAGCCGTGATGACTGATTTTATGTGTTAACTTGACTGAGACGAGGAGTGTCCAACTATTTAGTTACTGTATCGAATGTGTCTCCAAGGGCATTTTTAAGGATGAGATTAACATTTATATTAGTAGGCCAAGTAAGACAGTTGCCTAATGTGAGTGGGCCTCACCTCATCCTCAAAGGCCTGTAATGTGGTTTGAGTATAAAATATCTTCCATGGGGGGGGGGGGTTGGCCTTGGATGAAGGACCTATGTGATATTAATTGCTCCACATATTTGGAGCACAGGATGTGTAGGAGGACAGGGGCTCAGATGGTGGGGCCAGGACACCATTAGCTGAGGCAGAGCTCTTATGCAAAGAAGAAAAGTGTGCTCCCAGGGCTAGCACCTCTGTCCAAGAACCGGAGACACAGCTCTACTTTGTGCTAGATTAGGGGAGCAGGACGGTGCTAGCTGCTCTTCGATGACAACTGTGACTTCAGTCTGTTCAGCCACATATCAGAGAAGTCCCCGAGTCCTGCCTTCAAAGGCCGCTCAGATTCCCAGTTCCTGACATCAGCCCCCAACCCTCACCCATCAGCCCACCTACCCTGGCAGTGGCTCTGGACCCTCCAGGAATAAGCGGTCACCTTCCTGAGACCTGACAAACATAAAACCATGAACCGGCATGTGGAAAGAGGTGCTCGGTGTCCTGTTCTGCTCCAGCTTCTCCCACACTGGCCAGGCCACTGGTCTAAGTTCTGGAAAGTTCTCTCCCTAGATCTCTTTCTGGAAGATCAGAAGAGATAAGGATAAGTGAGCCCATCTAGTATTTATAGCCTCGTGGGGCAGCACATAGGGAACTGTGGCTCCAGCACCCAACCGTAGCTTCCCGACTCTTGTGCTTGGTCTTGCTCAGACAGAAGCAATCCCACCAGAGCACTGTCCTGCCTCTAAGGCAGCCCCATGCCCTATCCCTTCTGTTCACACAAACTCCTATCACCACCCCCCCTCCTTTTCCTGGTCCAAACCCTTTCTTGTTGATGCACCAACCCACCTGCTTGTACACACATCCCTTGGATGCCTTAATCCCCTCCCCAGAACCCCAGTAGCAGTGAAATTCATTCACCACCCAGCTGCTCACTCGGTAGACATTACCTAAGTGCCTGCATCTTGCTGTGCCCTGTACTGAATACACCAGATGGAGAAACGAGCCCTCTGAGACCTTGCCTGCCAGCGGCTTCCAGATGAGAAGGCCATTGTGGTCGTTTCTCTCTGGGTGCTGGGATCACCTCTCACAAAACATCCTGTGGATGTCTGACCAACCCCTCCTGGAGCTGGGCTACCCCCCACCTCCCGTGCTGCTTTCTATGCCTATACAAGTCAAGGTGGGGCAAGGCAGGTGTCTGTAGGTAAATGGTGGAGAAAATGCCCAGTGCTGGGGGAGTCCAGGAAGCTGAGACTATCTAAGATGGCTAGGATGAGGGGCGGGGCCTGGGCAGCTTCTCCAGGGAGGTCATGTTTGCTCAGTGTGGGAAAGTGAGAGGTGGTTGGAGAGAGGGATATGGAGAGAGAATGGAAGGCATAAAGACATGAGACACCGAGAAGGAGAGAGAGGGAGGGGGAGAGAGAGAGAGACAGAGAGAGAGAGAGAGAGAGACAGAGAGACAGAGAGAGACAGAGAGACAGAGAGACAGAAACAGAGAGAGAGAGAGAGACAGAGACAGAGACAGAGAGACAGAAACAGAGAGAGAGAGAGAGAGAGAGAGAGAGAGAGAGAGAGAGAGAGAGAGACTTCCATGAGAGCTTGGT